AACATTGTTTGAGACTCAGATTAACCATAGATAAAATAAGGATGACATAGATAATGTATATATAAAGAACCTAACATAAAACCTTGCACATAATAGACATTTTAGAATGCCTATTATGACACCTGACACCTTTATTCTCTTATGCCAACCTCCTTGTCCTCCAGTGAGTCAATCATTCTCCCTCTTCCTCCTCTATCCAGTATAAATCCACGTCAACCAGATTCTCTCCCAAATTGCACATCTGTCGTTCACTAGCTATACCGCCATCGCAGTCCACAATTCTAGATCAATCCAAACTTGTTCCCTGATCTGAGTCTGCCAAACCTTGTTGGAGGAAATTATTTCCCTACTGAGATTATCAACCTTATAAATGGACAGTCTTCAGGTTCCTTGGGGTGACCTCCACGCAGCTTGGCAAGCCTTTGATTTTACCTTTTAGACTACTCTTTTCACTTTTTGATAATTCCTGTCCTAACTGCAGTGTCCTCCCCAGGCCCTCTCCCCACCTCTGTATTAGTAGATAACTTTATCACCTGAATGAATCCATTGAACTTGCCTCCCCTACATCTCCAAGTGTTTTTATAATACTTGTGGGGTATCCCAAATGCCAGTATCTGAACAAGTGTAAGTCTGGCTACTTTATAAGCACCTGATTAACATTAAAAAATATACCTACCAGGACTTGACCTCAGCATATGGAATGAAAATCTTTAGTACTGGGAAATCATTCCTCAGGTGATTTTGAGACCTAGCTAGATTTGTGAGACATCACCAGGAAAGTTGCTGACACCTTTTGCTCATAACCTCTGATAGCTATTTGAAATTAATCTGGCTGCCTTATTTCTTCCCAGCAGTAGAACATGGAGGCTACACTTTTCAGAGCTCTTCAATGAGTTGTTAGAGCATCTGTCTTGCCTGTGGTCATTTCACTTAATCTCTTTTTGCTGGAATTGTTAACACACTCCCACTGGTGGCTTGCCAATCTCAAAAGTAGCTAGAACAGCTCCTTTGGAGGAGTGTCATGGCTGTGCTCCAAAATTTTGTTTTTGGTCATTTTGTCTGACCATTTAATGCAAACTGTAGATCATAGATGACACTGGTGGAAGAGTTCAAGTAACCAGAGTGTAATCTCAAGAAGATGGAAGTCTCACAGTTATATAATAGTTTGGACATGAGCATTACTCTGTAAAACTTTTGACTTGATTTTAAGTGTATTTTCCAGTGGGCACCACATTTAGCATTCCAAAGAACAAAAGGACTTTTAATGTTTTTGAATTTTTTTCATTTATTGGCGTATCATTTATATAATTTATATTGAGTTCCTTTCACCACAGTTATCTTTTTGGCAATTCTCAAAAATTTAAAATGTCACTGATAGAAGCAAAGCTTTCAGTGACAATACCAAAATGATCAAAAATCAACATGTAAACAGCAGATTAAC